GGGAGGAGGGCGGAGGGGTGTGGGACGCAGGCGAGGCCCAGCTACAGCGCAAGGGGCAGTGTACCAGGACAGGCCGTCTGCAGGCCCAGCCGTCCCGGCCTGTTCATTTTCATTCCCGTGCCATATCCAGCTCTCAAAGTGGCGTTCCCAGGCCAGGGAACAGTCGGGGCAACAGCATCAGAGACACGCGCAGATTCTCACTGCCTCAGACCTCTGGGTCAGTAGCTCCACGCAGATGCAGGGTCAACCCTTCTAGAACATTCCAGTGTACACTCGGGTCTGAGATTCCCTGCTGACACCAGTCCTCCTGGCTGTGAGTCTTGGGTTATTTCCAGGTTTCAGCCCCTGGGGGACAGTCTCACTTGCTGGGATTTGGGGGGGCCAGACACACACTTGTGTCCACTGCCCTCCTTTTCTAATCTGAGTCAAATTGTCTTCCAGCCTTGGTCCAAACAAAGATCACAAGCTGCGCCCGGCCCAGCGGGAGGAGGGAGTGCGGTGAGGATTGGCAGCAGCTCAGCTCTCTGATGGAAAGCAGCAGCGAGGCTGGGCCGGCGGCTCAGCCTGCACCCAGCTGCGTGGGAGCTGGAGGGGGCAGGAAGGTCTTTACTAGACACCAACCAGCCTGAACCATTAAGACAGCTGCACCTGCCTGTCACCCCAGCTACCTTGGAAAAGGAACGGGGGGTCAACGTTCTTCACAGCCAGGACATCGATGTAAGACCCCATCGGAAAAACTGCCACCACAAAAGGGGCTGGGAGTTTGGCTCAACGGGTAGAGAGCCTGTCCATGCAAGCAGAAGGCTCCAAGTTCAAGGCCCAGTTTGGAAGCCAGGAAAATAGATAGGCAGAGCAGCAGTGTACTTGTTGAGGTGAAAGCGTCCAAAGAATCCCTGCTATTCTGTTACCCGGAGCAGACGCTCTGCTGTCAAGGCTGTGGATAGACTTATCGGGGTAGCAGGAGATGTGGGCTCCAACTCTGTGATAAAGGTCATGTCAAATACAAAGACTCACTGGAGCCTGGCACAAGTCCCTTCTCTTCTCTTTTTTTGGCATTCAGCAGACTTTGCAACCTTGAAGATTTGCAACGAACACTGACCTGCTGTCGGCGGCAACATCGAACATTTTGTAAAGACCTTTCTTTGTGTGCATTGCATTGTGGTCAAATCTGTCGGAAATCTTTAATCGAAGTGTTCAGTAAATGAGTGCCAAGAGTTTCAAAGTTTGAACTGTTCTCAGATTGTAATGATTAGAAACAGCCCTTGCCAGGAGACAAACACCGAAGCACGGCCTGACAAAGCCGAGGGAGGAGAGGGAGGAACGCAATGCCGAGAGGCCTCCGGTGTGCAGGGTCAGGTTTCTTTCTAATTCCATCATTGTTTCTGGGCTATGTCAGCGTGTGGGCCCGATCTTTTGATGTGATTCCCAGTTTTAATTAGAGAGATTTATATTTTGCACGGCAGTGGAAGGAAATGAAGGCCTACTATTTTCAAGCATCTGAATTGATGAAACATTTCAAAAGAATAATAAACATTTTGAGGGGAATGAATTTCGGCTTATGAAAATATTCATCGAAGAAACCTACCCAGATTGCAAGCAAAAGGGCAGAACGTATAGAGACACTTGACTTGGGTTATGTACATGTTTGGTTTCATTTTGCTTTTATTTGTATTGACTGATTGGCACTACTGGGAATTGAACTCAGGGCCTGGCGCTTGCTAGGCAGCTGGTCTATTGATACAGCCACTCTGTCAGCCCCGTCTGTGGTTCCTTATCTATCTATTCACTGGTGAGGTCTTGGTATGTAGTCCTAGCTGGCCTCAAACTTGTGATCTTCCTGCCTCCACTTCCCAGAGCTGGGGTTACAGTTGTGTGCCATCATGCCCAGCTGATAGCTTCACATTTTCACACACACACACTCAAAACAGTCTTCATTTAGCCATTTAAGTCTACTTGGCACGTCCATCTCTAGAACCAGGGCTTTCTCAACACTGTCTTCAGGACTATTTTCTGAAGATGTCAACCGGTGTGAACTTAGGATCACAGAACGCAACTTTGGGTAGGATCATCCGCAAGATTCTGCCCCTAGCAGAATAACAAGGGCCCACTGAGGCACAGAGCACCTTCAGACAAACACCCACATAACCTGTGCAGGTGGCCGGCAGTGCGGCGTACCTGGAGAAACTGCAGGAAATGCTTCCTCGTAATTCCCTTTTGAAGAAAATGTATTTCTTTAAAAACGTTGTGCTGGTATTGGGGCTTGAACTCAGGGCCTGCCCTGTGCTCTTGCCTGGCTTTTTCACTGAAAGCTGGAGATCTACCACTTGAGCCACAGTTCCACATCTGGCCTTTTGCTGATCCATTAGAGAGAGGTAAGTCTCACAGACTTTTCTGCCCTGTTTGGCTTTGAACAGTGATCCTTGTATCTCAGACTCCTTCTGACATAGCGGTGACCCTTCTCTTCCCCAGCACGTGGCTTGAGATTCAAAGCCTGGCTCCATGCCTGCCTCCATGTCCCTACCATACCTCAGGACCCGGAGCCCAGCAGGCCCATGGCGTTGTCAGAGCCCGGCAGTCGGTGTCTGTAGACCATAGCCAAGCTCGATTGTCAGGCCCAGCTGTATCTGTTCAACATTTTCTTTGTATCGTTTGTTGGTCTGGCCCACAGCTGAGATGGACGCATCAGAGCATGACTCACGGCAGTATCTGGGACCAGAGGCCAAACACTCTTCCTGTTTCTCTTCTTTTCAAAAGAAAAAGAAAATGCCCTGCCCTGTCTTTATGGGCTGCCATTGTGTATGCTAGTTGAACTAAGATGAGCTACAAAGGAGTGTGGTTCTGAAGTGAGGGTCCGCCTTCCACTCAATGCACCTGTGAAGTTAAGAATTTTGAGGTCAACCACACTGGGAAGGCAGCAGACAGCTCACTGATATTTCTTATTCAGGGACCTGGAGAGGTTCAGCTCTGATATGGAAGGTGGAGAAAGGGTGCCGACCCACGAGACTGGATGGGGGGGGGGG